TACAGGACTGTTTTGCTAGCACAGACTGGAATATGTTTCGGGATTCTTCAGATAGCATTGAGGAGTACACCACATCAGTCACTGGCTTCATCAAAAAGTGCATCGATGACGTCGTCCCCACAGTGACCGTACGTACCCAAAGCAGAAGCCATGGATTACAGGCAACATCCGCACTGAGCTAAAGGGTAGAGCTGCCGCTTTCAAGGAGCAGGACTCTAACCTGGACGCTTATAAGAAATCCCGCTATGCCCTCCGACGAACCATCAAACAGGCAAAGAGTCAATACAGGACTAAGATTGATTCGTACTACACTGGCTCTGACGCTCGTCGGATGTGGCAGGGCTTGAAAACTATTTCAGACTACAAAGGGAAGCACAGCCTCGAGCTGCCCAGTGACACAAGCCTACCAGACAAGCTAAATTACTTCTATGCTCGCTTCGAGGCAAGCAACACTGAAGCATGCATGAGAGCATCAGCTGTTCTGGATGACTATGTGATCACGCTCTCCGTAGCCGATGTGAGTAAGACTTTTAAGCGGTTCAACATTCACAAGACCGCAGCGCCAGACGGATTACCAGGACGTGTACTCCGAGCATGTGCTGACCAACTGGCAGGTGTCTTCACTGACATTTTCAACATGTTCCTGACTGAGTCTGTAATATCAACATGTTTCAAGCAGACCACCATAGTCCCTGTGCCCAAGGACACTAACATAACCTGCCTAAATGACTACCGACCTGTAGCACTCACGTCTGTAGCCATGAAGTGCTTTGAAAGGCTGGTCATGGCTCACATCAACACCATTATCCCAGAAACCCTAGACCCACTCCAATTTGCATACTGCCCCAACAGATCCACAGATGATGCAATCTCTATTGCACTCCACACTGCCCTTTCCCACCTGGACAAGAGGAACACCTACGTGAGAATGCTATTCATTGACTACAGCTCAGCGTTCAACACCATAGTGCCCTCAAAGCTCATCACTAAGCTAATGATCCTGGGACTAAACACCCCCCTCTGCAACTGGATCCTGGACTTCCTGACGGGCCACCCCCAGGTGATAAGGGTAGGTAACAACACATCTGCCACGCTGATCCTCAACACGGGGGCCCCTCAGGGGTGCGTGTTCAGTCCCCTCCTGTACTCCCTGTTCACCCATGACTGCATGGCCAGGCACGACTCCAACACCATCATTAAGTTTGCCGACGACACAACAGTGGTAGGCCTGATCACCGACAACGATGAGACAGCCTATAGGGAGGAGGTCAGAGACCTGGCCTTGTGGTACCAGGAGAACAACCTCTCCCTCAATGTGAACAAGACAAAGGAGATGATTGTGGATTACAGGAAAAGGAGGACCGAGCACGCCCCCATTCTCATCGACGGGGCTGTAGTGGAACAGGTTGAGAGCTTCAGGTTGTGTCCACATCACCAACAAACTATCATGGTCCAAACACACCAAGACAGTCGTGAAGAGGGCACGACAAAGCCTTTTCCCCCTCAGGAGACTGAAAAGATTTGGCATGGGTCCTCAGATCCTCAAAAATTTCTACAGCTGCACCATCGAGAGCATCTTGACTGGTTGCATCACCGCCTGGTATGGCAACTGCTCGGCCTCCGACCGCAAGGCATTACAGAGGGTAGTGCGTACGGCCCAGTACATCACTGGGGCCAAGCTTCCTGCCATCCAGGACCTCTATACCAGGCGGTGTCAGAGGAAGGCCCTAAAAATTGTCAGACTCCAGCCACCCTAGTCATAGACTGTTCTCTCTGCTACCGCACGGCAAGCGGTAATGGAGCGCCATGTCTAGGTCCAAAATGCTTCTCAACAGCTTCTACCCCCAAGCCATAAGACTCCTGAACAGCTAATCATGGCTACCCGGACTATTTGCCCCCCCACCCCACCCCATCCCCCTCTTTTACGCTGCTGCTACTCTGTTTATATCCCTCAATTACCTCGACTAGCTGGTGCCCCCGCACATTGACTCTGTACCACTATCCCCCTGTATATAGCCTCTCTACTACCATGACGGACCCTCCACCTCCAAATCGATCCCGCTCCAGAGTACAGGCCTCGGTGTAACGCTCATTCCTTCGACGATAAACTCGAATCTGACCATCACCCCTGGTGAGACAAAACCGCGTATCGTCAGTTAAGAGCACTTTTTGCCAGTCCTGTCTGGTCCAGCGACGGTGGGTTTGTGCCCATAGGCGAAGTTGTTGCCGGTGATGTCTGGTGAGGACCTACCTTACAACAGGCCTACAAGCCCTCAGTCCAGCCTCTCTCAGCCTATTGCGGAGAGTCTGAGCACTGATCGAGGGATTGTGTGTTCCTGGTGTAACTCGGGCAGTTGTTGTTGCCATCCTGTACATGTCCTGCAGGTGTGATGTTCGGATGTACCGATCCTGTGCAGGTGTTGTTACACGTGGTATGCCACTGCGAGGATGATCAGCTGTCCGTCCTGTCTCCTTGTAGCGCTGTCTTAGGTGTCTCACAGTACGGACATTGCAATTTATTGCCCTGGCCACATCTGCAGTCCTCATGCCTCCTTGCACCATTCCTAAGGCGCGTTCACGCAGATGAGCAGGGACCCTGGGCATCTTTCTTTTGGTGTTTTTCAGAGTCAGTAGAAAGGCCTCTTTAGTGTCCTAAGTTTTCATAACTGTGACCTTAATTGCCTACCGTCTGTAAGCTGTTAGTGTCTTAACGACCGTTCCTCAGCTGCATGTTCATTAATTGTTTATGGTTCATTGAACAAGCATGGGAAACAGTGTTTAAACCCTATACAATAAAGATCTGTGAAGCTATTTGGATTTCTGCTAATTATCTTTGAAAGTCAGGGTCCTGAAAAAGGGACGATTCTTTTTTTGCTGAGTTTATTTTGCAAACTATATGGGACGGCTGTCAATCCTTTGGTCCTTTGGTGCAGTATGTGTGTTTGTAGTTGGACAGAATGGAAAGAAAAGAACTGCAGTAAAAATATACACTCACCGGCAAGTTTATTAGGTACACCACCCCGTTCACGAAAATTGATCGCTCCTACAGACAGTGGGTCACGTGGCCGTGGCTTGCTATGTAAAGCAGGCAGACGGGCATCAAGGCGTTCAGTTACTGTTCCATTGAACATTAGAATTGGCAAAACAAGTGACCTAAGAGACTTTGAGTGTGGTATGATCGTCGTTGCCAGGCGCGGCAGATCCAGTATCTCAGAAACGGTGCCCTCCTGGGCTTTTCACGCATGACAGTATCTAGGGTTTACCGAGAATCCAGTCAGTGGCAGTCCTGTGGACGAAAGCAGTTAGTTGATGAGAAAGGTCGAAGGAGAATGGCCAGAAAGGTCGAAGGAGAATGGCCAGAAAGGTCAAAGGAGAATGGCCAGAAAGGTCAAAGGAGACTGGCCAGAAAGGTCAAAGGAGAATGGCCAGAAAGGTCGAAGGAGAATGGTAAGAATGGTAACAGGCAGGCCACAAACAGACAAATAACAGCGCAGTACAACAGTGGTGTGCAGAATGGCATCTCGGAAATGCACAACTCGTCGATCCTTGTCACGGATGAACTATTGCAGCAGACGACCACACCGGGTTCCACTCCTATCAGCTAAAAACAAGAAGAAGTGGCTCCAGTTGGCACGCGATCACCAACACTGGACAGTTGAGGAATGGAAAAATATTGCCTGGTCCGACGAATGCTGTTGCATCATGATGATGGCAGAGTCAGGATTTGGCGTAAGCAGGTATGAGTCCATGGCCCCATCCTGCCTGATGTCAACTGTACAGGCTGGTGGCGGTGGTGTAATGGTGTGGGGAATGTTTTCCTGTCACATGTTAGGTCCCTTGATACCAATTGAGCAACGAACGTTTCAGACACCTTGTAGAATCAATGCCCCAAAGATTTCAGGCTGTTCTGGAGGCAAAGGGGGGTCCGACCTGATACTAGATGGGTGTTCCCTAATAAACTGGCCGTGAGTGACTAAAACCGGTATAAATAGTATCAAGATCAGTGGGATCAGGTTTAGATTAGTACATTGATTTAATCAAATCAAATGGACATTCATTTAAAGTGTAATTTTTCAAAAAATTTCGTCCCAATACACTTTTACAAACAAAACAAAAAAGATGGGGAAGAGAGAAAAAAGGAGTAAAGGGGAAAACCGTCAAATCTACAACAATAAAGAGATACTACATCAGTGGATTCTCCCAGCACTATTAACTCAATGAACTTTCCTCCTTCCCTAGCTGGTCTTTCCCCAAAACAAGGACTAAGAGGCAAGTGTGTCAAGTTCAACTGCTGTGAAAGTGTAGTGCAGAAGAAAACAATATCCGCAATGATAGAATTCTGACCAATTCCCAATATTCTGTGATGAGTTTTACAACTGCTCCTGCTTTACAGGAAATGCTAAGACAAGGGGACTGGAAAGAAGAGTAATCCCGACAAGACACGGCAAGTGACTCTCTTTCCCCTATATCACAGCTGTACTTGTTGAACATCAGTTTACGTGTGCTCAATTTGTGTTGTTTTTTGTCATAGGCTTGATGTTTGATGCTGATTATGATGTTGGTCATGCCATACAGTCATTTCCTGACTTTGTCCTGGGTAATTCTTCCACATTAAAGAAATCATTGTTTGATATTTTGTGTGTCTGTATCTGTGTGTAGGATTATTTGTGTTCATGTTCTGACTGTGTGTAGGACTCTCTCTGTGAGTTTTCTCTCATGTTACAGTTTCAGAGTCATATGATCCTCCACAAACTCGCTCAATTAAAACTACAATGAGAACTACAACTACAACTGGTACTGCAATATTTATGTCGCTCTCAAAATGTATTTTTCGTGTATTTAAGATGTTGTATACGGTTATTGCTGTTTTCTCACAACCTAAGTATCTTACGCTCCCTTCTGCATTCTCTTTATCTGTCCCTCTCCCTCTCGCCATCCCTTTCTCTATTTTCTCTCTCTCTCTCCCTCTCTCTCTCTCTCTCGCTCTATCTCTCTCAGTGAGTCCTCTCCTGAGGTTCTTGTTGCCGGCTGAGGGTCAGGCTCTGCCACTGTGCTATGACATCCCTGCGTCTCTCTCTCTCAGACTGCTAATGGACCCCAACAATGGTGACTTGACCTTAGAAATGGATTCTAATTTTAAATCAAAATTGTATTTAATTCATTAATTCATTCAATTGTTAATTGTCCTGTCCTCATCATCCACTCACTCCTCAAACATTGTTGAATGAATGAACGGTGTCCGTCTTTCACCAGAGTTGTCTATGAACGGTCAGCTTGGACAATCAGCCAGTGCAGGCTACCAGAAGATTGTGATCCATTACAAAAGTGATCAACATATTGAGTTCGACACCACTGGCATCACTTTCAACGATGGACAGAATGCAACATACTTCTACTGGAGCCTGGAAATCAACCACGAAACAGACAAGTGCTGAATCATATACCAACTACATACTTTCTGATAAAAGTCATTTTGTGCTATTGTTTTGTTTCTGTGATTAGAATTCTGCTTTTGCCTTTTGTGCAGTGCTAGGTGTTTTATGTTTTTCAGCCTGGTTAAACCAAGTGAAGTGAGACAATAGTGAGCGTAGCGTTCAGTCTGGTTTAGAATGTAGTATTGTGTGGGGACATAAAGAGCTCTAGAGTGTATATTACTAAAGTTGCATAATGACTGGAATTGTTATACAGTAGCTATATAGGGTACTTTATAGGGTGGTGTTTTTCAGATGATTGAATTGATACATCGGAGTCTTGTTATGTCTCTTCCTGCAGTGTGTCTCTGTTCCTAAGGGACAGGGAGATGGATGTCACCATAGCGTCAACACGGGTCATCATCATGTTCTACAAGAGGAATGGAATCAAGTTCCTGTGGCCCGTCCTGAGGCAGCGCACAACAGGAGACAACATTACCGGGATCATGGGTGAGTGAAACATAATCAGTCACTCCACTTCATGTTCTTATGGTCTATTCAATAGTCATGACATCTTCTCTTTGTTTCTATATGTGATGAGACACTTTTGAAAACAATATTTGTTTTGATTTTTGACATTAATTGTTTTGTATGACACAGATGAAAGTATGTTATTTAGTGACGCGGTATAATATAATATATGATAACATATGCCGTTTAGCAGACTCTTTTATCCAAAGCGACTAATAGTCATGTGTAAGGGTTGGTGTGAGGTGTGACCCAGGTGTGGTGGAGGATATACAGTAGGCAGTATGCAGAGATGGTGAAACAAGGATCTTTACTGGTGGTCCAGAAGCCAAAATACTAAATAACAGACTTATCACGATAAAAGAAAGACGGAGCAAGTACAGTTGAAGTCGGAAGTTTACATACACCTTAGCCAAATACATTTTAACTCAGTTTTTCACAATTCCTGACATTTAATCCTAGTAAAAATTCCTTGTCTTAGGTCAGTTAGGATCACCACTTTATTTTAAGATTGTGATATGTCAGAATAATAGTAGAGAGAATGATTTATTTAAGCTTTTAGTTATTTCATCACATTCCCAGTGGTTCAGAAGTTTACATACACTCAATTAGTATTTGGTAGCATTGCCTTTAAATTGTTTAACTTAGGTCAAACGTTTCGGGTAGTCTTCCACAAGCTTCCCACAATAAGTTGGGTGAATTTTGGCCCATTCCTCCTGACAGAGCTGGATTAACTGAATCAGGTTTGTAGGCCTCCTTGCTCGCACACGCTTTTTCAGTTCTGCCCACAAACCTATAGGATTGAGGTCAGGGATTTGTGATGGCCACTCCAATACCTTCACTTTGTTGTCCTTAAGCCATTTTGCCACAACTTTGGAAGTATGCTTGGGGTCATTGTCCATTTGGAAGACCCATTTGCGACCAAGTTTTAACTTCCTGACTGATGTCTTGAGATGTTGCTTCAATATATCCACATAATTTTCCTTCCTCATGATGCCATCTATTTTGTGAAGTGCACCAGTCCCTCCTGCAGCAAAGCACCCCCACAGCATGATGCTGCCACCCCCGTGCGTCATGGTTGGGATGGTGTTCTTCGGCTTGCAAGCAAACCCCTTTTTCCTCCAAACACAACGATGGTCATTATGGCCAAACAGTTCTATTTTTGTTTCATCAGACCAGAGGACATTTCTCCAAAAAGTATGATCTTTGTCCCCATGTGCAGTTGCAAACCGTAGTCTGGCTTTTTTATGGCGGTTTTGGAGCAGTGGCTTCTTCCTTGCTGAGCGGCCTTTCAGGTTATGTCGATATAGGACTCGTTTTACTGTGGATATAGATACTTTTGTACCTGTTTCCTCCAGCATCTTCACAAGGTCCTTTGCTGTTGTTCTGGGATTGATTTGCACTTTTCACACCAAAACTACGTTAATCTCTAGGAGACAGAACGCGTCTCCTTCCTGAGTGGTATGACGGCTGCGTGGTCCCATGGTGTTTATACTTGCGTACTATTGTTTGTACAGATGAACGTGGTACCTTCAGGCGTTTGGAAATTGCTCCCAAGGATGAATCAGACTTGTGGAGGTCTACAATTTTTTTTCTGAGGTCTTGGCTGATTTCTTTTGATTTTCCCATGATGTAAAGCAAAGAGGCACTGAGTTTGAAGGTAAGCCTTGAAATACATCCACAGGTACACCTCCAATTGACTCAAAAGATGTCAATTAGCCTATCAGAAGCTTCTAAAGCCATGACATTATTTTCTGGAATTTTCCAAGCTGTTTAAAGGCACAGTCAACTTAGTGTATGTAAACTTCTGACCCACTGGAATTGTGATAGAGTGAATTATAAGTGAAATAATCTGTCTGTAAACAATTGTTGGAAAAATATTTGTGTCATGCACAAAGTAGATGTCCTAACCGACTTGCCAAAACTATAGTTTGTTAACAAGAAACTTGTGGAGTGGTTGAAAAACGAGTTTTAATGACTCCAACCTAAGTGTATGTAAACTTCCGACTTCAACTGTAAGTCTCCAAAAACCATCTGACAGCCAAAATACGAAATACTACCTAAGAGTGAAACAAATAACGAAAACAGGGAGAACACTTCTCAAGCACCTGTACATAGGTCTCCGATCAGACACTGAGTAGTACTGCTGGACATAGAGAAACTAGCAGAGAAAACTGAGCAAGGGAACACAGGGAAGTGAGGGCATAAATACACTGGTGAACAGGTAGACACAGGTGACACCAATAGGATAATGATTAGTCCAGACTGTGAGTGAGGAGGTGCCTAAGGTTGTCGGAGGATAACACCTAGTGGGTCGCTCCGGAACTGCGACCCCCTCCTGTAACAGTCAGGTGTGCATACATTTTACGTATGGGTGGTCCCGGGAATCAACCCCACAATTCTGGTGTTGCAAGCGCTATGCTCCACCAACTAATCTACAGAGGACCACTCCTGAGCTACAGAGGACCATCTCTTCATAATGGCCTTTTGGTTTATGGTGACAGTTCAATCGAGTACAGGCTTAACTGAATGACAACAGAGACAGAATATAATAATACATTTTATTGAATAGTTTGGGGTAGGCCTTGTCTCTGAGGAATGCTCCTCAGAGCCAGATGCTGATGACAGGTTGCCCTATGCTGGGCAGCTGGCATCGAAACCCCACTCTCTAGGGGAAAGGAGTTCCAATGACGGGCCTTAAGGTTATTATGCTGTTGATGGAAGGTCGTTGGAAGACTGTTGCTGCAAAACAACAAGTGGGAGACACAAGGTTTGAGTTGACATATAAATACTCCCCTAGATTCATGCCCATTGGTTAAAAGAAAGGATAGTGATCATTGCACAAATGAGCCAATAGGTTCATCAGCAACCGTGGTGCAATTGCTATAGTGTGCCATGCTTATAGGTTGAAGTTTAATAGGTGAATGACAATCCGCACGCTTGCTAATAGGAAAGGAGGAAGAGTGACGTGACGCTAAACTGATAAGGTAACATTATGACCTATAAATACCTGCCACGCTGACGAGGTAACATTATAGAAACTACCATATAGAACACCTGCTATGCTGATGAGTGAGATAGGAAGCGATGTGAATTATGAGTTTTCTAGATGAATGAAAAGTGATGATCCATTCAGACCTTCCTTTCTGATTGAACTTTCGTAACTACATTATTTGTACTGTGTGTTGCAGCCCGTCCACCTGTTGCCTATGAGGAGGTCCAGGGAACAACAATGAAACTTAAGATTCAGGACAAAGAAGTAGACGTCTCCAGGTAAGTTGAACTGTCTATCAGACACAAACTCCAGTGATCTGACTGGTCATAGGTTGTGTGTGATACTACTGTGTATCTATATCAAGGATGTGTATTTGGTATTCTGTTTATGCTATTATATTAAGAACCTTGTTGTGGATTGTGTGTGTGTGTGTGTGTGTGTTGTAGGGACTCTGCTGTGGATCTCAGTGCTCGCTCTGCCCCCACCGTGGCATGCTGGTTGCTGCCGCTTCAGTCTGCCCTACAGGGGGAGCTAGCTGACTTCACCGTCACACAACTCTAACTGACCATGTAGTTGCTCCCACCACCAACTCATGAACACTAAACATACAATAATTGTGTTCTAGAATTAAGAAGAGCAACAATTAAGACTGAGGTTTCTTTATATAGTTCTAGGAGTTCACATAATAGCACAACTAAGATCTCCTGTGACCAATTCATTGTAGAATAAATATCATTTTCTGAACAGTTTGACGACTTTTGTGTTTGCATTCCACCCTCTTCAATGCTGTCTTTCTGACGAAACTCAAGCTGACAGAGGATCAATATAGAAAAAGACAATAATTGCCACCATGAACATACAAACACACTCGCTCTCTCTAACACACACACACACACACACACACACACACACACACACACACACACACACACACACACACACACACACACGCATACAAACACACACACACACACACACGCATACACACAAACACACATGCACACACACACACATATGCATACACACACGCACATACACACACAGGCCTATTGTGTGCCTGTGTTTACATTCAGGTTTGACTCTCTGACCTCCATCTACAAGGCAAAGGGTGTTTACACTTGGTGGGTCTGGGAGGTGGTTGTTACCAAGTGGGCCACCAAGTACATAACATGGAAATAAAACATTCTCTATTGACATACAACTAACCATAATTGTGTGTATGTGAGTCATGCTTCGATCCGTGTGTATTGTCCCAACCAGAGAAAAAAGCTATTACGCAATCCAGGAATGCATTTCTGTAATAGTTCTCATGACGTGAGGTGACTAACTTGTTTTACAGGACACGCTGCTGAATGAAACAAACTGAACAGGGAAGCTGACATTCATGTGGACTCAACCATTGAACTCAAACTAGTATCATTTACATTTTCAGTAAATCTACAATCTAATTGTCCCGGCTCTTCAGTGGGTCTTGACATGACTATGCTTATGTAAATAGACAGACATATGCTATGTAGGTTTTACATTTGCTTTATGCTTAACTGATAATACACAAAGCCCAAGGATATAGACTTTGATCCGCCTGAGCGCTTTGGGTATACTTTTACCATAATAAACATTCAGGGTTCTTGGATATTACTTCTGTATTGCTTCTGTAATACTTTGTGTTTCGTGTCACTGTGTTTTTTGTTTGATTGAGGCTGTGTGGGTGTGAGCGAGAGAGAGACAGAGAGGGGAGAGAGAGACAGAGAGGGGAGAGAGAGACAGAGAGGGGAGAGAGTGTGTGGGCTGGACAAGGACACAGAGGGGAGGGATCATGCCATGGTTAAGACATTCACTACATGACTCAACCTACCATATACCAGTTACCTAGCAATGACAGAATACACTAACATCAAAACTGTTGGATTTTACTGAATACTTAATTACCATATTCCCTAACCGTGAAGAGTTTTAGCTTTTTCAACCAAGGAAACTCTGACATATGGGTGTGAA